ACTGGTTCAGTAGTTATAAATTAGTCTAACTCAGATTGAATAAATGTTTCAACATCTCGTAGGTATAAACAAATTTTTTAACTGAATCTTCAGATTATTTATTACATTTTAATGCAAATATTATTTTTTTCTCTTTATGTTGACGGGTATATTTTCATCGGAAAATGCCAATGATGCATTTTCAAGAGATTAATTACATAAATGGTTACTAAATTATTCAGTAGTCACACGAATTATACTTTCGTCGATGTGCTTGTATAAGTAAAAACTTTAATGAAATTATTGTCAGAAATTGAAGCTTCAACTGCATCATCTACTTCATGACCTGTGGGTTTGGATACAGCAGTTAATATGAATACCACATCTCTATCATAGTTTTAAGTAGCATCGGGTTAAACAATAAATATAACCAATACAAGTCAAAAAGTAAGACTATCACAGTATTGACAAATAATACCTATACTAACTATCTGTAATCTAACATTACAGAAAAATCCTAGTATAATATACTAAGCTATTCATCAAAATTTTATATTTTATTTTATTACGTGGATTTCAAGGGAAACCTATAAATTAATTTGAATTGTTATGGTTTTGGGTAAAATTATTTTAAGATAATTACGATATTATTATTTACATATTATTTTACGACATAATAGTTTAAGTTAATTTCTGAAACTCCTAAACAATGTGATTCCTGTGTATATACTAATAAAATCACTAGCATCTTAATATTAATATAGGTTCTTAGTTTTTTTATTAAACAAATGAAATCTAAACGTACTATGGTTGGTTGTTTGTACAATATTTTCTTTGATTTCATACATTTTTTGCATTATTAAATATTTAAACGCCGTGTGCCTTCACTAAATATTATCCAAAAGGCCTTAAATTTTTATTTTTTATTATATGGCACAAGATGATGAAGGGGAAGGGGTGGCCCGGAAGAAATTTTGAAATTGGCCATATAAGGACCACCTTCGAGCAATGTCATATACGGTGTCATTTATTATTATAATAATTTGTTTGAATTCTGAATTTTATTACGGGAAAGTTGCAGGAAAAAAATTATGTTAGGTATACCTAGCTACGTGCAATAATTTATTGCTTTTACGAATTCATAATATTTTCATGCCTATATAATATCGCGCATTATGATAATAATTTCTAAAGAATATTTCGACGTGGCATTACTCACTTCACATCACATGTATAATAATATTTAAATCCGTAGCCCTCCTGATCTGAGTCATATTGCCATATAATATAACTATTGCATATCTTACGTATAACGTCCTCGTGATGCCTAAATGTGAGGTTCATTCCGGCCAATTAATATCCATGCAAATGTATTAATATCGGAACTAGGTTAAAATATTGAGATTAACAAGAAGGAAATTATCTAAACTTTCGTTGTACTCGAAAAACCTTAAAAAAAAATTTATTTATAGAATATATTGGGCAATATTTTTTATATGTTGTATGTAATGACGAATCATGTGTAAACGAAAAAGGATTCTGAATGGAGTTTGTTTGGATATTTTTTTATTATTATACATTTAAATTAAAATTATCTGTAGCTGTAAAGAAAATAAATTGAAATTGCAAATTGCATTTTATCATCGAACTTTATCATAAATTTGAACTTTAAACAAAATTAAAAATAATAATAAACATTTTTATTGATGTATATTTATACCAAATACCTAACAATTTCAATTCTTTATTGCTAATTAATATCAACTGTGCTACATTATTAGAAAAATTAGGAAAATAATTAAAATTATATTACAGTGTTATATAAGTAATTAGTACAGTTATATTAGATACACGTGTATAACCAATTTGAGAGTAATCACGGATGTTGTAAATGCACTAAATTAAAAACATATTATTTAAGTGTTTTTTTTTTTTTTTGTTAAGTATTTAAGTATGTATAATATAAACATGGACAGTAAACAAATTAAGATAAATTATATTAAATCAATGGTCTAGTTAAGTTCATTTAAAAAAAGTTAACGAGTTAAAGCTTATGAACTGTGACATGTATATTCAGTGAACTATATAGTTAATTGACCAAGTTAAGTCAAAATAAGATGACTTGATAATTTAATCTATATTTATTAATTATTAGGTAAAATTAATTAATATTTTTATTGTTGCGTAATTGTTAATGTATTGTCGTACTGAAAATGATTAAAACCTATACATTATGCAATTCTTTAAAAATACGGCGTTAAATGCAAGATATTTTTTCCTGGTTATATCAAACCGTACTCGGTAAACCGCACACGTTTATTGAGTAAAAATAAAAAATTTATACTACGGTTTTAGCTGTACTTGACACGCGCAAGTTTTAAAGACTAAGACGAACATTTAAACGTTTTAACGTGTAAATCGAAAAATATTATATTATTTCTTCCGTCTCTTTTATGCAGCACAATTACTCAAACCTTGTGGGACTCTACGCGTACAACATAATATACGAGTAAACATACCTTTACACATACATATTAAATAGGTATACATATTATAATACGTTATATCATTCATAAGCTCTGTTTACAATCAGCTGCAGTACAGGTACTAAATTAAATTTTTACGATACATTAAGTAAATTTAATACACCGTGCACTCGTGCTAATTGGTTTAGACGCAGCGAACAATGCGTATATAATAGAATGGTCTATAAAGCTATGATATTGTTGTGCATAAAGTGCGTTATACGTCAAGAATTTATAATATATAAAATAAAAAGAAATAAAAAGAAGTTTATTTTACAGTAATGAGGCTCAGTGGCCTCTAAAATTTCTTAAAGTGATCGGTCTCGAGTAGATATGAATTATAAATGATCCGAATAATATGTTGTTGGTGTCAAATTTGTTTGGAAAAGTAGATTAATCGTGAGTCCTCTTACACCGTACACATGATGTAAAACAAGATGAGCTTATTACTACAATAAGTATAGTATCTATAGTGTATAGTATAATAAATTTGGCTGGTATATCAGCCAAATCTCTGGTACATCTCTAGAGATTAGAAGGACTAATTGCATAGATAAAAAATGGAGATCAACTATAATAAACCTGAAGTACGGTCAAGATTAAATGGAAAGGATAACAGAAGACTTATGGTTTATAGGGGTTAAGAATGTCCAATAAGTCGTAAATGATAGGGACAAGTAGACGGAGTGTGATGCTATGGACATCGCGTGTTATAAAGGTTTTTTGTTACAACAAATGAATAATTATAATAAAGTAACACGTTATTTGCTATCTAGTATCTAGGTATTTATTGAGATATTTTTTTTTCCAATAATTACTACAAATTGCGATAAAACTGAAAAATAACACGTATGAATGTAAGTGGATAGGTATTGCATTTAAATTCGAAATCTTCGCTTCATCTTGTGGTATTGTTTTTCAAACGCTAAAATTATCACAAGATTATTATTCAAATTTAAATAAACGGTTTATTAGAAACTACCCAAGGAAAGTATCATAAATATTCGTACGCTGACATCTACTTTTAAAATGTTTATTTTTCCTTGTTATTTACTAAAAGTTAAACACTAACAACAGTTTTTTTAAATGGGTTTTTATATGGGTTTTATTTATCTTAATTAAGATATGTAGTTTTTGATTATAACTAAAATAAAATTGCAGTATAAGTTTACGTTAGCTTGTATACAAATCAAAATGCACAGATGATAATTTAAATAACGAAAAAAAAAGAACTGACACTAGAGACGAGTATGCCATTTTTGTAAAAGGCAATTGGGAAGGTAGTATAAATAATGTTATTTAATTTATTACACGTTATAAAATATTGCTAACAAAAAATAATCGGAGCCTTTAATGTTTTGAAAGGCCATAATATTTACGGTGTTCATCAAAATTTGATGTTAAAATTCTTATAAAAAAAAACTACTACACTAAACTCAACTTTTTCTTGTTGGCCACTGAGTATAACTAATAATGAACCTCCTGTGAAAACCAAACAAAAATACGTAAAAAAACTCGTAAAATTAAAATGTCTATAAATAGCTTAGAAATTACCAAAATGTTTTTAAAATTTTACTGCGTCTATAGAAAATGCAAATATAAGTTTTGTGTCAAAGTTTCAAGTCTATGAATATTTTTTACTGAATTACAAAAAAAAAAAAACAAACAGAAAAAAAAAACCTACACATCATAACAAAACCAAAGGATCTCTCGCTATACTCCGAATCTAAAATTGAAAATAATAGCATAATTTGAGTAAATTTTCCCGTTGTATCTACGTTTTTTTTTCAGTTTTGCTCAATTATGAAAATTACTTAAAAAAATAAAAATATAACTTTCTCACTCTACAACTACTTTAAAAATTCAGCAAAAAATGTTTCTTGTTGTTTTCTGTTGGAATGTTAAGAAAACATTGTACATACGAATTTTAATAATGAAATCGTACGCTGAAAATTTATTCGTTTTATCATTTTTCGTCTTTTTTTGATTTTTCCAATTATTATGGAAATTATTTGAAAAGCATTTTAAGTACAATTTTTTAGAAAAATCTTAAAACTCCGGCATTTCTAAACATATTTCAAAAAACTTTGGCTCACTCAGGCTTGTATTTTTAGCAATGATTTGTTATTGTTAACAGAAATAAATTTAATTATTTTACGTATCTTACTCTCTTTACTTCCAACGTACAAAATAGTGGTACACCCATCACAATTAACGTTTCTTTTTAACTTTTTATTTTAGTTAGTAAATTTCTTGCTTCGCTCCGAATCATATAAAGGTTTATGTAAAAAAAAAAAAACATATTTCATATAAAAATATATATTTTTTTTAAACATTGATATTTTTTGGTTCATTTTTTTATAAATCCATGTAGTAACTAATATTAATGAATCAAACTATTCCAAAATCAAATATGATACATTTTTAATTTAACTGTGATTAAATTTAGATAGGTATATTTATTTTTTAGATTAGAACAATATAATTCTTTAATAAGGTGGTAATAATAAGAAGTATTTATACAACTATTTAACAAATAAAAGTTAAAACTAAAATCGTAATTTAAACAATTTCTTTTTTTTATATATTGAAAGCATAATAGATATACAAAAAGTACTGGGGGATAAATATTTATTTATTTTTATTTGCTTTATTTAGTAAATTATATTACTATTTTTTTTATTAAAAATGTGTTTGAAATAATGCAGCCTATAATGATGGAAATACGCGCAATATATTTTTATCGTAATATGCATTATAATATTATTATGTACATTTATTGGATTTTTTTTTTTTAAATTTGGGTACTGTGCAATGTAAAGTACTCAGACCTACTTAAATTATTAAAACTGGTATTTTACTATATACAATCTATCGTTGGCACAAACGCAAAATTATAATAATACGTATTCACGCAAATATGTAATAAAATAAGAATAATATAAAAATGAAAAATGTATTAACGCTCTTGGCTTGGAGTGCTATCGTTTTTACGGTTTTTCATGTTTTTCGCGATGATCGGCATAAATAGATCCGGATTGCAGTTGCGGTTTTTTCCTGCACGAAATATTGCGTTTACTATCACCGCCATCATACACGTTACCGCAAATCCCAAAACTACATAGTACATGTAACTGATCCGATACAGATATATGTAACCGCCTTCGGGAACGAGTGGTCTAGAATAAAAAAAATAATATATTTATTATTTATCTGTAGAGCGTTGAACAGCAGCGATTATATTGTTATGTACACCAAAATTTCGAATAAATTTGACTGAACGAATTTTATGGACGATTTAATCTCTCTTAATTTTCTTGCACAGACTTTTGTACTCCATCCAATCATCCGTCTTTCTGTTTTGCTGTCAAATCTTAAATGGTTTTTCTTACTAGCTAAACTCTCTGAACTTCCTCGCCCCACTACCAAGTTTTCTTTATCTCTAGCGTATTACGCTAGAGTAGTATGCTAAAGATCAAGAACCACTTTAAAGCTAAAGCTGGAGTTAAATCTCACCAGCGATCTCCTTTGCAGTAATTTTAATATAATTGGCCATCCTTTTACACAATTCATTTTTATTTTTCTCAATATTCCATGTAAACATTTTTTTTTCATTTTATTTATATACTATTTATCCTTATCTATCATGAATTTCCACCATCGAATCCTCCAACTCTATTATTTGTATGCACTTTCTTCCCATAGCACCAAAACTCTATAATCACGCTGTGATATACAATTCTCACAAGGTATTATTTTACAATCTTTTATTTGCTTAAAACGTTCCTTCTTCCACATAAAATAATCAATTTGCGATATATTCCCTTCAATCTTAAGAGTTATAAAATGCTTTCACTCTTGCTAAAATGCGTGTTAATAACTGCAAGGTCATAATATGCTGACGCAAAATCTTAATTTCTTAATTCCTTTACTCCTTTTGGATAGTTATATAGTTATTTGATTCCCAAGATGATTAATTTGATTTTTGATATCCGGCTTTCGTTATTTATAATTACTTTATAAGTTTTTATTAGTTTTTATAAAATATATTTAATAATTATTAACATCATATTTAAATTCAGGTATTAAAATAATATATTAATTTAAAACGATAACTCTAAACATTTCTTTGTTATATAAATAAAAAAAAAGACAGACGTACTTTGCACGTGGGTACTCAACCCGTTGAAGAAAAATTCCACTTTTAAGTTTGGGTAGAGAGAATGGTGGTATTTGAATACCTTGTGATATAAGTATCTTATCGATGAATAATTATTCTATACACGGGGTGGGGAGACCATTAAATTTACGTGACATAATATCGAACAGTGCAGCAGGGAAATATCATAATAATATATGATGAGGCATAATATTATTATAGCATTATCAAAAAATATTAATTATTCGACTAGTTTCTTACGATGCATATAAATTATTCAGGGACGCGTCTCTGAAAGGAGGCGGATTAATTCTTAATTTATATGCTAATGATCCTCAAACGAATGATCGGAAATATTATTTCCGAATTATTATGTTATGTGTTTAAATAGTATTTATTACGATATAATGTTGAAATATGCTCATTATTAAAGTAAATGTTCAAATATTATGTGAAGTGTTATTTAATTTCAAAATTATGTATATAGAATATTATATTATGTATTTAAATAGTATTTATTACGATATAATGTTGAAATATTCTCATTATTAAAGTAAATGTTCAAATATTATGTGAAGTGTTATTTAATTTCAAAATTGTGTATATGGAATATTATATTAGTAGCGTTGACTACCATGTTGCATCCCTTATGATATAGACAAATAATCAGATAGTTAGGAAATTCACTAAAACTATAGTATTTTATCGATACACACTAAAGGATGACATTAAAAAAATGTCTAAAATTATTGGTATTGTTAGCGATTTTTAGAGAAAAACAGAGGGCATTAAACTTAGAAATAATGATGCCTCTAAAATAATACGAGTTTACGGTTCGTGTTAAATTTCTTTGGTTGCATGTAGGTGGGTACCTATCTAAAAAGTTTAACGAGACGTTCTTATCGTATGTATATTTATACAATTCATAAAAAAAAATGTTTATGGAAACATAAAAAAATACATCTTTGAAACCCATTTCGTCTCACGAAGATATACCTATTGTAATATCTCGGAAAATATTAACTTTTTTTGATTTTTTTTATTTTTTTTTGTTTTAATTAAAGAAATAAGCAGCTCTAAAATAATTACCATTTTCATAAAAATTACTTTTATTTTTTGTCACCTTTAATTTCGGGAATGAAACAATTACCTACTTTTGATTTTCAATTAGCAATTTTTATTATAAATTCTATACAAAGATGAAATATTAGTTTAAATACGTTTAGGTGTTGACATTTTTTTTCGTCTACCCGTTGATGAGATATTCCACTTTTAATTTTGAATAAAGAGAAATTTAAATAGTGGGGTATAATATGTGTGGCGACACGATGTGCTATTTTGAAATAATAAAGATGAAAAGTGTCATTTAAAAAATTAAAAGTAGATAGTCTATTTACCACCAAAAATAAGGATAATAATCCTTAGTGGTTAAATACTATTTTAGAGTTGTTTATTTCTTAAAGTTTTAAGAAAAAACAATTTCAAAATACGTTAATACTTTCAGAAATATCGCAAGAGGTATATTTGGATACTCTACATAGCTTTTGTTGAAATTTGTGAAATTTAAAATAGCTATTTGAATTTATAAATGACTATGATGATTATCACAAAGTAGGTTTTTCAGGGTCATATTTATGATTGAAGATCATCATCTTCCTTCTGAAATTTCTGGTTTAAAATATAATGCGGGTGGATTCTAGAGCTTTGGAATGGTATTTGTAAAAAGGAAAATCTGGTTTGTGCCTACAGTAATGTCAAATAGTATTTTATTTTGATCGTACTTATAGTTCAAATAACGTTTAAACATTTCACGGATTTTTGCAAAACACAGTAGTGTTTTCACTATCGATTTTATGAAACGCAAATTCCAGATTAACTTTTTGTTATCAAAATAAATATAACATGAATATTTTTGGGTTTTATCAGAAATTCCAGGAGAATAGAGAATCTTCATAAACAATGAAATCAAGCAGTTTGTATCAGATGTGTTCTATAGTTCTTCTCAGAAGAAGAATCTCTGGTATAGTGTATTAGATAAAGTGTGTTCTTCTAAGAGAAAAGAAACGATCAACAATAAGATGGGTGGATCGGGTAAAATATAATGCAGACAAATATAACTGAGAACTTATTAGTACGATTTGGTAATACAAAATGGTAGAAAATAAAAATATTAAAAAAATTGAAAAATGTGTTCGGCAGTTAGATCTTTATCGTCGTATACTATACAAACGTAGAAGAACATTTAAATACGAATTGGTACTAAATTATAATACTTTGTTTGTAGTGACAAATGGGAAACGTTGTACGCTATGCACGAGTTTGTGAACGATGGTAAATGGTCGACCGGTGGTTTCGGTCCTCCGAATCCAAGTACAAAGGAAAAGACCAAGCCAAATATCAAACCAACCAAAGCTCCCTGAAAATTTAACCATACGAATATTATTAGAGATTAACTCGTTTTATATATCATAGATCGATTACTTTTTGATCGATGAACGGCATAAGTATTCCCAGTGTAAACACGCCCAGCACCGGTCCTCCGATTACACCGAATATCGTTAACGCTCCCTGGAGCACCGCGCCCAGATATTCGACCAAAAACGATAGAAATATGCAAATAGATCCGTACGTGATCATTAATATTTTCATCAGATAAACTCGTTTTTTATCCGATAATTCTTTGCTCTTGAACGGCTATAAATATTATATAGGCAATCATGTTATCGAACTTTTTCTCTTAAAAACGTTGTATGTTCACTTTAATGTAGTCTTCCATCGTGATTGCGGCCAACGAATTAAGTATCGGTGACACTGAACTCAAAGCCGACGAAAATATCCCGGCTATGAAAAGCCCCGTTAAGCCGGGTACGGAACTCATCGTATCCATCACGTACAATGGCATCAACTGATCTTCACTCGATACGCGACCGGACCTTTGAAAATAAATAAAATATTAAAAAATACGGATCAGAATTTTCGGAAATAAAAACTTTTTCTGGGCTTTACAATAGAATCTGTAGGTAATTTTTCCGATGATCGTCTATTGTTTCGATCCTTAAACTTTAATATCACATTTACGTCACGATTATGAATTGTGGTTTTCGTGATAAAAACCTGGGGCTCTATTTTTTACGCCGTACGAAAATTGGTTCTTACATAGTACGATCGTTCGTACATATTTTTTCGTATACGAAGATGATTTGGCCATAAAGATGTTATTCGTACTGCATTTATATTCGTACGTACGACGACATTATATAATGACGTTTATCCGAATTTTTATTTCGAACCTATTCGAATAACATTTTAAAATACGTAAACCTACATACGTAACCTATAGGTACCATCGTACTTATAGCAGTCCGTACATATAAACGAATAATGGTGGTATTCTAACTCACTATAGGAACGCTAATTTATTATACAATTATTCATTATATATAAAAAATATTGTATTGTTTACATTTGAATTTCTAAGTATAATATGTCTATTACATAAATATAAAATAAATAAGCACCTAAATCAAATTGTTAAATTATACATTTACATTTGTATCTGAAAACGATAGTGAAAATATATACATCAGTACTCATTGTAGTTTAATTTTGAAATTATAATTTCATATAAGATTCGAAAATTGTATAATTATATTATTACTATATAATAGCTTTAACTCCGGTAGAGATTCCATTTATGGTTAAAATACATTAACAAGTTTGAAGCGTATTGATAATTGATATTACACTGTAATGGTTATTTCCCGTACAGTCGTACTCGTGTTATTCTATTGGAGTGTGTGACTATTTATCAGCTTATTTTTATTTGCTTTTAAATCAAAATTTCATTAGAGAAAAAAAAATTGAATCTGGTTCTGTAACCGGCGACTAAAAACAAACTATTATAAATTGTATGGAGTCGCATCCTCACTTCGCTAAAGATAAATGTGTGCCTCATTTAACAATGCCTGAGATAAGGAATATTTATTTTGTTGTAGCATACGAAAACCAGCTTCCACATACCCTACACCATACGTAGCAATCATACTAAAACTAGTCGTATACGGGGTGATCAATCTATCATAAGACACTCGTTTTTTCGGAAAGTATTAAATTTTTGAGGAATTTGTTTTCTAAAACATTTAAGAAACAGCTGCTCTACAATTTTATGTTATTTTTTGCCACCTTTATTTAGGGGGTAAAATCAACACATACTTTTGATTTTCGAACCTATATTAAAAATTCAATAAATAGATGAAGTATTAGTTAAAATAAATTTGGGTGCTGAAATTTCCGTCTATCCGTTGACGAGATTTTCCACTTTTAAGTTTAGGTTGGAGGAGAGTAATGGTGCATTATATTAACACGTCGCTCGCCGTACCACCCCATAAATGATACTCCACTACAGCTCTCCATTTAAAAGTGGAATATCTCGTCAACGGATCGACAGAAATCAAAAATCTCAACACTCAAATTTATTTTAACTATTACTAATTAATCTATTTATGAAATTTTTAGTATAGGTTGCCGTTTGAAAACCAAAAGTATGTAGTGGTTTTACCCTCAAAATAAGGGTGGAAAAAAACAATAAAAACATAAAATTATAGAGCATCTTATTTCTTAAATGTTCTAGAAAACAAATTCCCCAAAAATTTAATACTTTCCGAGATAATACCACTTAAATGGATCACTCGGTATTATTGTCAAAACGCTTCAAAACTTGTTATATTTTAACCATAAATGAAATTTCTATTTTATCGTAAGTTAAAGTTATTATATAATAATCAATGGCGTTAATATAATTATATAGTTTTTGAATCTTATACGAAATTATAGTTTCAGAATTCAACTACAATGAGTGCTATGTGTATATTTTCACTATCGCTTTCAGATAAAAGTTTAAATATGTTATTTAACAATTTGCACCAATTTGTTTTATTATATTATATTTAGAAATTTAAATGTAAAACATACAATAGTTTTTATAGATAATAATACATTCAATTAGTGTTTCTATAGTAAGTTAGAATACCGTCATTATTCGTTTATGTGTACGGACGACTATAGGTCGATGTAGATTGCACGATGCACGATGTAGGTTTACGTATTTTAAAATGCTGTTCGTATAGGTTCGAGATTTAAATACGGATGAACGTTTAAAACATAATAAAATGACGCCGTACGTACGAATATAAATGTTGTACGAAAAACACGCGTAATGTCAACGATTCGTGTATCTAAGGTTAGGTTATGATTACACAAAATACCAAATCGTGCTTGTATACGAAAAAACGTACTAACGAGTGTAAAATATTCATACGTCAAACATAATAGACCCCAATGGACCAGGAGCGCAGGACTCGGAACGCTATTGCCGCGACTCTTCGTAGCGGTCGGTACCCGAACGATATTACTGCGACGAGTCGTATCGGTCGGCGGCCGAACGAGATTCCCGCGACGAGTCGTCGGTGGCAGCCGCAGCGGCAGCGCACACCGAACCTCCTGTACTCCTGGTACCGCGTGGTCCTTAATAAAATTCTCGTTTCAACCCCGGCCCTAGAAAATTTTCGAAACGTTAACAATAATAATTATTATTATGATTTATTTGAATGGTATGACGTCATTATATCCGTATTTTAATATTGAACCTATACGAACAACATTTTAACATACGTATACCTACATCGTATTTAGTCCGTACAAATAAACGAATAATAGCGGTATTCTAACTTACTAATTTAATGTACAATTATATGTAAAAAAATATTGTATTGTTTATATTAAAATTATTTAGTATAATATGGCTATTGCATAATAATAGTATACATAGGCACCTACATCAAATTGTTAAATAATACATTAACATTTTTATCTGAACACGATAGTGAAAATATATATATCAGTACTCATTGTAGTTGAATTTTGAAATTAAAATTTCATATAGGAATCAAAAATTGTGTAATTATTGAGATTGATAACTATATAATAGCTTTAATTTAAAGATAAAACAGAGATTCCATGTATGGTTAAAATATAACAAGTTTGAAGCGTATTGATAATTTATTAATATTATATTGTAATGGTTACTTATTTCTCGTACAGTCGTACTCGTGTTATTCTAGTGATATGTATGATTATTTATCAGCTTGGTTTTATTCGCCTTTAAAAAAACCAAATGTCTGTAGAACAAAAATTAAATCTGGCGATTATAATTGGCGACCAAAAACCAACTATTATAGATTTTTTGGAGCGCATCCTCACCTCGCCTTAAATATAGAAATATTCATTTTGTTGTAGTATACAAAAATCAGCTTTCACATACCCTGCACCATATGTTGCAATCATAACCTAACCATTCGTACATATGAGCGATTTCGTCTTACGAATATAGTTTCAAATTACTGCTAAACGAACGTTAATTTCGTATAAATTACCATTTTCGTGCATCACGCGTAAAATGTACGTATGAATGGAATTCAATCGTATTTACGATAAGTTTTCGTATACGAAAGTAGTGACAAAATACTGAATTGGAATTTCATACGAAAAATGCCCAATTTTTGTATACGAACTACATTCGTATGGCATACAAAATAGACCCCATATAGTCAGTTTATTGAGTTTCGATTGGATTAATTGGTAAGACAAAATTAAAATTATATTCAATGTAGATTTTTTTTTTTTTTTTTTAATTAAAAATATAACGTTGTATATTCGTAAACGGATGGATAAAAAAAATGTAAAAATGCAATCATGTTTTAATTATCTGAACATTTTACAGAAAAAATTAAACAGTGATTATTAAAAAAGTTTATGATTATCGTCGTGTAAAGTACAACACCGCTTTTATAGATGGTCGATTCGTTGATGGATTTGTACTTTCATTTTATAATATACACGTATACCGTATACGCCCATAAAAAATATCCAAAAGATATACATAACGATTTCGCTGTTAAACCTGTTAAGCCTGTTAAAACGTCCAATATTACAGAGGTTTGTTGTGTAATGTATATAATGGCAACTCGTGGGCGCTAATGAAAGAAGTGCGACAATATGAAAACGTCCTGTCTTAGGATTACACAATTACCTATACCAATACACATACTTTTATGATACCAAACAGTATTTTTACGATTATCATTATTGATTAAACGTTATCTTAAATATTATCGCCGGATATAATGCTCGCTGCGAGCGTATGAATTGAAAACGCGTAGCAAAATCCATCATTCTTGATATTGTTATTAACATTATCAATTTATGATTGTTCAAACGATGCTGTGAAATTGTATGTTATTATTTTCTAATTTTAATGACAACCAACAGAACAATACAATTTTTATAAACCTAAAATAAAATTAGAATTTGTCCTATCGTTAAATTTTATGCAGTGTGATCGTCCTAACATCCAAGCCATGAGCCACCACAGTATAATATAATAATATATACATGTATTAAAAAGAAATAATAATATGTATGTAATAACACGAACTTGAGGGGATCACAATTGTAGTATTTTGAAAATATTGCCAGACCCGAAAAACTCGTCAAAACCGATATCAGCATGACTAGCGGCAAGCTAACCCAGAGCGCTGTCACGGCGGATTTATAATCTTTCATGGTCAAAAACCGCTGGATTTGTGTTTGGTTTACGGCGTACAGGGATATTTGCGTGAAAAATCCACCCATAGTTATACTCAACCAACTATGCCTCACTGTCGGGTCGATGTTAAAACTGAAATCGATAATAATACAAATTTAATAACTATAATAATATTTTATTCCGTGAAGACAATCGTATAATATTATTATGTTGTTTTGATTTTTCTGGTAATCGGGAAAGCCAGATAGTAACCACTAAGAGAATTAGATGAAAGAAAGTTCTTATCGGTAGAAAGGGTAACTTTGTAGAAAATCTCCGGGCTAACAAAAGATGAATACATTAAACGTAATTGGTGAACCGAGAAGGAGGAAGAATTTGGAGCTAGGCGCCTTATTTTGAAATACGCGTATAATAATAGATGTAGTTCTGTGATAAGAAATTCAAGATAGTCATTACTCATTATAAACAAATTTATAAATCCATTTTTGAAGTTAGCGAACAATTTAAAATTGTTGTCATAGTCACAACTACATAATATTAATCTATTCGTCAATTTGTCCATGACAAATAATTTTCTTTAACAAGTTGTAGAAACTTAATGGTTCATAATTACTCATTAGTAAAAATGTTTAACACAAAATTTTGTTACAAAATTATTTATGAAATGACTTGGATTTCACAAATCTTGGATTATGTAAAAAAAAAATTGTTTAAATATTTAAATTTTATTTTGTTTTGAAAGTATAAAATAGGCTATAGAAGAATCATAAGGCTCTAGTAGTTATTACAAGAAAAAAAAAAATGTAAAAAAGATGTTTTATTAATATTTTATAATCGAAAACAATAATAATTACTTATGAAAGTTAATACGTCCGTATTTATCTGCAATTTTCCAAATTTCCAATATACCACCAGTTTTGTAGATGGCCATACCGATCACGGCGAGGATCGACAAATACATGAGTAGTGACTGCAATCGAATACAGAAAAATTATGTCATTCCGATAAAATTTGAATTTTGTACACCTAATACAGTATTGACATTATTACTTTTAGGTGTTTTTACTCATGTGTGATTTTTTCGTTCAACAACTTTGCAAACCAATCGTTCACTAAAAAGAATGCGGATTTTCAATTCAGTGCAGTATTACTCAATTTGCAACTTATTTATAGATTCTCAAAATTATTTTAAAATATTTTTGAAAATTGACAACGAATTCGCAGGTTATGGACAAAATTTATAGCATTTAAATGGAATGCTATACAAATTATTTTTCTTCAAAATGGAATTTTGGATCTAGACAGTTGTTTGAAAATGTCTTGAAACCGGATTTTCAAATGTCTGTAATCTTATACGGATAGCTCACTATTGAATTTATACTTTTTGGGTGTTCTGTTGGGTTATTGTTTTCTATTTTTGACGATTTATTGATGCTTTAAACAAGCTATTATTATAATCAGTATTTTTAAAAATGCAGGTGTTTAAATTTAATTTCAGTTTAATTTATTTAATTAAAAAAAATTGTTTCTGGTAGTACAGATGTATAGACTACAGTCTAATTTCTTATCTATTTTTTAACTCTCAGGTATTTAACTGTAAATGCCTGTCGAATTGAATGTATATAACATACTGCCGATAACAAAATCTAAATACATAGACACGTTAAATGAAAAAATGATTATTATCATGGTCACCTACTTGAAATAAATCCGTTATGATTACTGCTTTTATCCCACCCATCGTAGAATAAAACACGCACACTATTCCCACGGTGACGATGGACACACTTCTGGGAAGTCCAGTCACAGCTTCCAGAGTCAACGCCGGGACGTACAACACGATTGCCATGTAGAAAATCATTTGTATACTGAATGCCAACGATGTGACCATCCGAGTAGACCGGCCGAATCGTATTTCCAAGTACTGTGGATAAATTACATATTTAAGAACATCAGACGCGTACATAAACAAACGAATAGTTATATATTTTTTTTTCGGAGAGGTGGTTAAGGTTTTTAAGGTTAAATCACTCATAACTCTACACAAATTAAAACCATACTTAACGAATTTCCTGGAATTTTGGGAGAGTGCGTAAACCCCTAACTCCTCTCTCAGTAAAGATCAGTACGAGTAGGTATGGGTACTATTGGATAAGTACGATTAGGCACAATTCGCGTATTCCTCGAAAAGGGTTAGAAAATATCCGATATTCTTCCATAGGTATTTTTTTTATTTATGTACTTAGTGTGTACAAAAAATTCTACTAGAAATCTTAGTCCGATATTTACGCGCGGCCCCATTTCTAAAAGGAAATATTGTCCAGATGGTACTTTTGGGAGGTCATTTTTTCATTTTCCAAGTGGTTTTCATAATATCTGGGAAAACCCAAGATAAAACTTAAGAAAAGTAGGAAATTTACGAAAATAATGCTTTTATTATTTTTCCAATTTTGCTATTTTTATAATTCAGTAAAAAATATTTAAATTATAGAGAAAAAAAATTGAATTTTACGCATCGTCCTAACCGACCTTACCTATATTATGATGTGTAATGTGTTATAAATGAAAATTATAATATTATTTTACCTCATAAAGGGATAGGTTGCCCAGTTTGAAGAAAACCGGTAGATACACGTAACCGATTACCGGTGTAGCTATCAGGTATGACAAGACCACGACGGAAAACTGGGTGCCGTGAGTGTATATTTCTCCACTCAGGCCGTACATCGTGATGGCTGATATAAAACTGGCCATCAGAGAAAATGCGACAGGCAAAACTTTTTGGTTTTTGTCACCCAACATGTATTCCTAAATATATATAAAGCAAAATTCCAAATAAATACAATGTAATTTAAGTTTCAATCTTAAGGTTTAAGTTTTCGACAATTTTTTACGTGCTCGTCGATCGGTAATATTGTGAATACTCATTCGCAATACAAAACACACCTTTTAGATTTTGAGTGTAACGAGAAATTTATTGATTTACTATGATGTATGCATTATTTTTTCTATCAGACATCTTGCTTCAGTTAATAAATTAAAAAATACTAATTTTGTTGTATTTTGGATTCAGTTGGTGCATTGAGGAAGTAAAAATGACTTTACAAAACCGAAAAAAAACGTAAAAATAAAAAAAAGTTGATACTGGGGATGGCAGCGGCCACTATTGTAGTTGAGAAGTTAGGAAGATAGGATACATAAGATTATTTCATTTATAATTTGTTTAGTAATTATTAGTAATTTATTTAGCAATGATAAACCATTGCTCACGAAAGACGATTCTGAGCACAGACATAATTTGAAGTATCGTAATTTTTTTTAGATTTTCGGTTAAATTTGATTTCGAAACGATTTAAAAAATTTAAAAAAGTTGTCCGATGATATTTAAAGTAAATATCCGTAAACAACTGAAATATTCACAGAATACTTATATTGGATTCTGACCTGGTAAATATTCTAATAACTTTTGAGCTATTTATAGACATTTGAAATTTTCGAGTTTTTAGTTTCATTTATTTCAATGTGAACGCAATTTTTTAACATTAATTACGAGGCTTATTGTATTTTTTACTTAGTAATTAAAAAAAAAGTTGAGCTTAATGAAGTAGTTTTCTTTTATAAGCATTTCAAGATCAAATTTTGACTAAAATCTTAAAAGTTACAGCGTTTCATAAATGCATATATTAATTTCCCCTAATAGTGTTTTTTGTTAGCAATGGTTTGCCACTCAAATTTTACTCGTCTATAGACTGTACTGATATTAGGCCAATCAGAAAATGGCAAAAGGCATACGTCACACGACGCTTTAAAAATACATATTAGTATTTAAGAGGAAGATGAGAAATAACAAGATCTTTTTTTTTTTATTATTTTTAAAGTTTAAAATATCGAAATAAGACCATACACTTTGTAACACAATATATTATGGTATCATAGGAATATGACACGATGAGCATATATTTTATACAAATGCCACTACCGCTGTGCTTTTCGAACCCATTTTTATAAACACAAAGAGTAAAGACAAAAACATTTGTGTATGTTTAAGGCTTACTATTGATATTATATGTGTACATTTATATACATGTATAAATGTGTCTATAGTAAATGTACCTGAGTGGTTTTTTGTTTTCCGCCAGTAAAACGGTAGTATAAGCCGATCGAAGTGGAAATCGTTAACATGATTCCGAACACGACGTAGTCGCAAACGCCCAACGCCATGGTAAAAAAGAATTTCAATGATCACGCGGTATTATTGATTGAAATCGAAACACACTTCTGGATTTCTTACATGGCAAAACCAATATGCCAGCGAAAGTGTAATGATTGCACTATTATTTAAATGTTGCCGGTTCTTATAATATAAATTATTAAGAAATGTTTAACGGTGGCTTGTTCGGTAACGGCTTGGGGCGAGCATACGCGCCTATTAAATTTGCATAAATGATAATATTATCTGGCGTTAATAAAACATTATTTTAAGCAGTATAATACGTTATCCATTTCGATTGTGGTATGAACACACATTGCGCACGTTTTATGAGCGTCTCTCGCACGCTACTTTGACAATAAGGACAATCGTGGTTATAAACGGATTAAACGGGAATATTCAGTACTTATACATGTACGTTTATTAACGAATCGTACATAATTCATACTAACATTTTTACCGCGCGTATATAGCACGATGCAGAGGCGTATTTAGGATTTTTCCAAGGAGTAAGTGGCGCTTTTTTAGTGATCAATTTATCAATTAAAAATAGATTTGCAATTTATTTCCTTTCCCTAATTTTCTGAACTAAAATTTAAACAGTTATGACTCGTTAACATTAAATCTGATATTACATAATAATAATAATACAAAAACATATATTAAATTCATTTATAATCTTCGGGGAAAATTGCTTGATCATGATATAAGAATCACCATGTATAATATGCATACACACATCCATACACACACACACACACACACACACACACACACACACACACACACATACATATATGGCTGGTGGACCTACCGGGAAGGCACGATTTTCCCGGTGCTTAACAACGTTAAAGTAGTTTATACTCAAAAACATAACATTTTAAAATAAGCCTTCGTATACACAAGTATACATTATCATATAATTAATTCACTTATCTATATTCATTCGGTAATCTTATGTGACTACAGCGCTTTGTAGTTTACTTATATATGTACCAATTCAGACCACTTGAATCGTAAAAACTCTACAATTTTAACAGATAATATTTTTATATATTAATTATATGTAAACAATAGTTACCCACTCAAATAAGTCCATCCACACAAAAACTTCAAGGATGAATAATATTGAAATTATTTTTTAATTTAACATTTTTCAAAAAAAAAAAAAAAAAACCCAGCCGTAGAAATCCATCACTAGAGTAAAATTTTACCCCACCTTTATTGTATTACAGACATTTTTTTTGTAAAACAATGAATTACCGAATAATTTCCACAATTGAAGTTATTACATTTTTCGGATAACTGGATAATTCGAAGGTTTTTTACTAAGGAAAAACGAAGTAACTCTAATAGAAATTCATTTATAACGTATTATAAAATATCGATCAGTCAAACTATTGTTCAATACGAGGGAAAAACACGGTCTGTATTGTTGTAGAGAATGAAGCAGTATGTACAATGGAGTTACTACTTATTTTCTTAGTAAACTAATTTTTACAATGCGTATATTACATATATACCAACCAAACCTCAGCTGAAACCACGGTTATAGATATAAATGTTTGCGCGACGAGCGCAAATATTTGACAAAGGAAGGTTTTCATCAACAAATCGTATTAAAAACCTACAGTTATGCAGTACGATCTGGTACTGGTAATAATTATTTATAATTTAAAGATTTATAATAGAAATATATAATAGATTGTAACACCAAATAATACAAAACTGTAATATTTGAATAGGTAGATAGAGCGGTGTAACTGGAGCTAAATCAAGGGGAGGGGGGGGGGGGTTTAAACATTTTAGTTTTCTACAAAACATTGGTGAAAGGGTTCTTCGTTCCAAAAAATAACGAGTTTTAATTTTTTTTTTTATCATTCCTCTCCTTGCAAATTAAAAAAGCTGTCTTAGGATAATGGGGACGGGTGTAGCTACTGTTGTAAGTGGGGAGTTGGGAAGATAAGATACAGGACGAATTAAATGTATATTCTTAAGCAACGATAAACCATTTTTAACGAAAAATGATTCAGAGTTGATAGTCAACAATATACACAATTCCATATTATGGTAAAATAGTTAAATAGGCATTATATATTTTCTTTAATAATATTTGATTAATTTCGTACCGATTTTCCCGTTTTTCCTACGCTTTTCACGGTTTTCCTTTAGTTCTTTTCCGGGTTTTCTCATTTGTTAAAAACTCCGGAGAAAATCAAAATCAAAAAATGGCTTCCCTAAGCGCAGAATGTATTGGTTTTACTCAGATGTATTATTTTTTTATTTTTTATATTATTTACAAAAATTCTACCAGAAATCTTGCTGCGATGTATCAAGTGTAGCTTAATTTCTTAAACGAAATGTAATCTCCATAGTATTTTTGGGAGTTCGTTTATTGATTTTTTCAATAAATGAGAATAAAGTGTATTATACGACTTTTCGAATTAAAAATTCATCATAAGGTATCACAGTCAAAATGTAAACCACTATACACTATTTACGAATATTACTTTATTATTTTATAAAAAAAATAAACATATTTGTAAAATCATAAGCTTCTTCGCTCCACTCGGAATCTAAAATATAGAGTGAATATTCTGCAAAATTATAAACATAATCAATACGTTATTGTTATTTTCTGATATTCGCGTTGTGTTTTAAATTAATAATATGACGTTTATTTTAGTTGGTAGTACAAAATATCGCACTAGCGGTTTTTGATTTCTAGTGTGATGTCCAAAATTGTTTTTTATTTGAAAGAATTTGTTGAAATGTTCGATAACCTCGTTCTCTTCTGTATATTTTTATATAATACACTTGGGTCAAAAACAAAAAAATCAATTAATACCGATCGTGCAGGCCGGTCCACCGTCATTGCGGTGTCATAATATTATTGTCACTGTTCGTGACACATTTTCGAAGCCATTTTTCACGTCAACTGACCAACCGACCGACCGAAACAGACATTCTCGATAGGTTCGTATTTATGGGAAAGGAATTTATGAAAGAACAAATTTTCTCAACCATTTTTGATATATTTATATACAGAGTGTTTCATTAATCATACTCACTCAATTCTTAGGGGTAAATTATGTATATATGCAAATTCTGATTTTGGGAATTTTTATTTATACTTAAATCTTTCAGAATATTTAAGGAGTTTCCTGTAGACAGTAAAAATGTTGGTTCTTTAAATAGGAACTTATATTAAAAATTCCATAAATAGATGAAATTTTAGATAAAATAAATTTCGGTGTTAAAATTTTTGATTTGCGGCAACCCGTTGACGAGATATTTTACTTTGAAATTTAGGTGGGGATTGAGAGCAGTGCAGAATAATTTATGTGTCAGCGCAGCGTCTGTATTTAAATAAAGCTCCACCACTCTCAACCCCTAATTAAACTTAAAAGTGAAATATCTCGTCAACGGCTTGATTTTTAATTTCAAAATGTATTTAAATTAATACTTCATCTACTTACGCAATTTTATATAGGTTCTCAATTAAAAAACCAAAGCTGGTGTCACCACAGGTCACATAATACTCCTTAAATGTTGGGAAAAATCTGTGCTTTGAATTTAAATAGTTAAACAACGCATGCATTGAATTGATATGAAGTTTGGATAGATTATGGTTTAAAAAACTTTTGGTCTGTACCAATCTTTAAATCCGTTTTTTTTTAAATGACGGATCAGTTTGAATACTATTAACTCATGAGAAACAAAACACTAAATCTAAAGCAGTACTATATTCTTGCCAATTATGATCATTATACCATTCTTTATAAAATAATGGATTTTTTCTATTCTTTTGTGTATAAGAATAAATGGACTAAATCAGTTGATAAAGACCTCTTTTAATTCTCTTTTTGAATTCTAAAGGATCAGTCGGTAAAGCGCGAATGGGATCTTCAATTTCGGTAAAATTCACTGCATAAAACATTTTCAAAATATGAAATAAAAATATATTAATATTTGAGGTGGAAGTAGTTAATAACATTATAATAAGTTTAAAAAGTGAAAAAATAATAATAATTCTATTACAAAGGAAGAAATTCAAGAAAAAAAAAATAAATAGAATGTAGATAGTATTAATTAATATTCACAACAAACATTTATTTAATATATGATATTATTTAAACAATATATTTTAGGTTAGGTTATAACAATTCATGTACATTATACACGTAAATGTCAATGTAACTATGATATTGTTATTTTAAACAATAGGCATCAATAGAAAACAGATTTTAGACATTGATTATAAATATGTGTTCCTGTGAAAATATTTTCTATAGCTGTGTATCTTGTGTCAATAACTTCTTCAATCTCGTTTCTACTAAAAGTTGGTACCGAACCAATAGTTTCAATAGCTAAAATATTAGAACATAAACAAATTAGTAATGCGTGGTAAACTTTTACCTTACATTTTAAAATATGTTTTTGTGTAAAATAAATACCTTCAATAGCATTGTTTTCAATAATATTTACAGTATATGCAGACCCATGGGTATTAACTTCTGATTGTTTCTGTTTGTTCCCTTCATTAAAAGTGATAACTAAAAATAAAAACACAATATTTTAATTGGTAAAATTAAATATACATACCAGATTATTCATTTAAGTGTAAGTTAAATTTTAGTCTAGACATTTTTTATTTCCGTCGATCCGTTAACGAGATATTGCACTTTTAAGTTTTGGTTGGAGGAGAGTAGTGGAGTATTATTAGTGTGGCGGTACGGCACGCGGCGTATTAATATTGCACCACTACTCTCTTCCGACCTATAATTAAAAGTGATATATCTTATCAACGGAATGATGTAAATCAAACATTTTTAACACTAAAATTTATTTTAACTAATACTAAATCTATTTATGGACTTTTTAATAGTAAAATGACAAAAAATAACATAAATATAATACTGTAGAGCTGCTTTTTTCTTAAATTTTCTTGAAAAAAAATTCCGAATAAAGTTAATACTAAACATGGACTTTGCGATCAATTTTAGAATTTGGTTCATGATTATGTATCAAAAATGATTTTTCTTGTATAAAATAGGTATAGAAACAAAATGAAAACGGTATCTATAAACAATTTTTTTTAAATATCTCCAAATACATTGAAAAAATACCACCCCATTTTATTTAACGAATAAATTATAGACACTGTTTTTTTTAACGACTTTAATGACTATAATATGACCACACGTAAAATCGAATT